TGCTACAGAAGAATGTCCAATTAACTTGTCTTGTTGTGCAGCTGTAGAAAAGGGCAACCCACCGTTTTGTAGGCATACAGACATTCCCTTGACAAGGGCACAAAGTCATAATAACTGCAGAAAGGTTGTTGCAAAAGCTATATAGTAAACGTTTCTAAAAGTACTCCATATCTCTTTAAGCAGGTGTTTGGTCAGTGAGGCTAGAGGTTTATAAAACCATCGTATATCTGGAGACAGACAGTGTGCTTTAGCTTGAACCTGAATTTGAACAATGAAATGGAAAACTTCATTTACTACATGTATACCCTAATTCAAGCACCATGTAAAAGCAACAGAATAAAAACACAAACAACAACAAAAAAACACGGTTTGAACAAAAGGCTGCAAGCTTTGCCAGGTGGTAAACTCACTGCAGCCTCTTAATTTCTCACCTTCATTCATTTGATGTGATTTTTATTTGGATGTGAAGGCTGTCTGAGGGCTTAAGCACACAGATACGTACTTGTGTAGATCCAGGGAAAACTGCTGAAGGAATAATTTATTGGCAGATCCTCAGGACCTGAATTATTGTTTTATATCTGATGTGGAAATCATTTTAACCTACACTGCTTTTGAGAGAAACATGTTAAAAGTATGAGCATGAAATTCATGGTAAACTTTATAGAAAGCTTTATAGTCACTCATGTTTGATAACCACAGCATCGAGGCCACTTAAACTCCTGCTTGTACTTACTCCTAAATTTTTGTTGCAGTTTTTTGTAGTTTTTGTGTTTCTGGTTTTTCTGTGGCAATTGTGTTTAGAAATTTGATTAGGCTTAGTAAACGTTGCCTGTGATGGTGCGTATGCATGCAGTGGCCCGGGGCCTTCAGCTCCAAACAATTTCGTTGTACGTGTCACAATGTTACAATGACAATAAAAATAAAAGCTCAACCTGAATGTCAGAAGCCCAGTGACGGATAACTTAGTGTTTGCTGTTTCTGTATAATGTTGAACTAAAAGGCACAAATGAAACAGGATTTGTGTGGAGTGTCAACATTGCGTTTGTGAAGTGCAAGGTTTCTGAGACTGTCTCATTCTCAGTAGAGATCATAGAAAACTTGGTTGCCACAGTGTGCCACCTGCTGGGGGTATATGGTGATCACACAGTAACTTTTTGTGGCCACGGGCCATCAGGGCATGGTTAATGTGGAACCCTGCCCACTGTTAAAGGTAAATCACACATGACTTATTTTTATTTAGAGCTGAGAGGCAATGAACAACATCTTGAGGACAAACATGAATGAAATAAGCTTTTAGTAGAATTACAGAGGTATTTTACCAGTAACATAGACCTCAAGGTAGAGGATAGATTTTCAGGAAAGAGATTCTCAGCCCACCATTGTGTTGTAAAAAGTCCTCCAGAAAGTGTACACATTTTTTACCAACAAGGTTTGATGCTGTGAGTAGTACAGCATCCATATAGCCTACTTTCTGCAGAGAATTGTAGACATGGCTAACAACACTAACAAGCTCTTTGGCAGCTGTGGCTTGAACTTAAAATTGGAATTGGGAAAAAAAGGATTTTGTATAGGTGATTAGTGCAACAACTAATTTAGTTGCATACTTTC